TTTTTTTTTTTTTTAATATCACGGTACACTTGAACCTACAGGTAAACTCCACAGCACACTTAAATTATGTTGATCACAGAAAAAGAGTAAAAAGAATATACTTCCTGTGCTTTGAAATTCTTTTGAAAATAATTTAATTCATGATCTATAAAAACGTTCACAGCACATCTGAGACCCTCTCACAGTAACAGTGTGCCACTGAAAATCTCTGCCTAAGTGTTCAAGCTCTGGCAGTTGATGACAGAATGTCTCTGCCCTCATGGGGCTTGTACCCTGGTACCAGCATTTAGACAATAAAGCAGTGAAAAAAGAAATACCACTTTTCAAATAACAGAAAGTATTTCAGTCAAAGTGGACTAGAGGGCCTAGAGATTTCAAATTTAGATGGAGCAGGTGGGGAATTCCTCTCTGGGGAGACATCATTTGAGCTACAGTCTGAAAAGCAAGCAGCAATCTGCCATATAAAGAGCTGGGAAAAGCATTCTGGAAGAGGGAACAGCCAATGCAGAAGCTCAGGCAGCAGGTGAGAGGGGTTATTGAGCACTGTGGTGTGCTCCGTGTGCTCGGGCCACCTGTCTCTACCTGCATGTCCCTCGCACTTGGGACTCACTCTTCTGGCCTCAGATCTTTACTCCTTTTACATCCCATCCTTTCGCAACCAGCATGACCCCAGCCCTCCGTGCTCTTTCTCAATCCTACAAAATCCACTTGAGCCTTTGATGCAATCACTGCCTTACATGTGTACAGACACCTCAGGGACCCATGTGAATGTTGACAAGAGTTTTGGACTTTTGAGTTGGTGTTGTAATGGAACGAGACTTTGGGGCTCTTCAGATGTGAATGTTTTCCACGTGGAATGGACATGTCTCATCGAGGGAAAGTCAATAGACTCACTCAGAATGGCTTTTTCAAAGACATCCATACCTAATTCCCAGAACCTAGGGCTATGTTACCTCCTATAGCAGAATAAAAACTTCACAGACATGATTAAAGCTAAGACAGGGACATTATCTAATCCCGTAAGTCCCTCAGAGTAGACATAGGAAGTAGATGAGACAAAACCTGCCATTGCTGGCTTTGAAGATGGAGGGAGGAGTCCCCAGTGGTGGAACAGAGTCTTTGGAAGCTGGAGGGAAAACCCTGTGAACCAGAAAGCAGGATTTGCCCCAGAATCTATAGGCAAGAGTGCTGCCCTGACAACACCGTGACTCCAGCACTAAGAAACAGACCTCTGAATCACAAGAGCTGTAGGATAATAAATCCGCATTGCTGTAAGCCCCTAAATTTGTGGTAATGTGTCAGACCAGCAGTAGAAAAGTTTCCAATTCTTTAAGGTTGCCTTTCAAAGTCAGTGTGTTAAAATAACTTCTAATAAGGCCTAGCATGCAGTAGGCATTCAGTGAGTGTTAATATCCTCAGATGAGAGGAAGTTGAGATGTAAGTAATTCTGAGATGATATAAACATAACCGATGACCTACATAGAAGCTATTTCCAGAGGACTTTACTGTATAATTAAGTTTCCAGAGGTAATACATTGGAAGATTATAACATTCCTAAAATAATTGCATAGAGCAGGAGCAGTAAATTGAAACGCACATGTGTGCTTTGCAGGTGGCAGATGATGGACACAAATGGGCTGGGGACCACAGCAAATTGAAAGGATGGCTCCAGCTCAGGGCAGACCCTAGCTTAGTTAACTGATGCTAATGAACGAACGTGCCGTGCAGATCGAGTGTTCTAGATCATTCAAATTTTCAAGAAGCTAGAAATCCTCACCTTCTTCTATGAAATCGCTATAGTTTTTCTGTGTTGAAAACCAACTCTCATTTAAACACACGCAGATACAGCTGACAGCAACCTCCAACTCCTGGGCTCAGGTGAGTCTCCTGCCTCTGCCTCCCAAGTAGCTGGGACCACAGGTGCCTGCCACAACGCCTGGCTATTTTTTGGTTGCAGCCATCATTGTTGTTTGGCGGGCCCGGGCTGGATTTGAACCTGCCACCTTAGGTGTACGTGGCTGGCTCCTTAGCCACTTGAGCCATAGGCGCTGAGCCATTTTACTTTTTTTTTGAGACAGAGCCTCAAGCTGTTGCCCTGGGTAGAGTGCTGTGGTATCACAACTCACAACAACCTCCAACTCCTGGCCTTAAGCAACTCTCCTGCCTCAGCCTCCCAAATAGCTGGGATTACAGGCACCTGCTGCAACACCTGGCTATTTTTTGGTTGTAGTTGTCATTGTTGTTTGGCAGGCCCGGGCTGGATTTGAACCCGCCTGCTCTAGTGTATGTGGCTGGCGCCTTATCCCCTTGAGCTACAGGCGCCGAGCCCATAAAAGCATTTTTCACAGTACTTTTGTTAACCTATTTAAATCTAAGATATGATTTATGTAAGGTTTTTTTTTATCATGTTAATCAAGAAAGACAACCTTTGAATTGTGTTCAAATCCAGTTTTATTAAATCTGGCAATTTGGGTAGCAGTATAAAATCAGTGACTATGACCATGGGACACAGACATGAGTTTGGTTTGCTGTAGGTCTGGGAACCGTACTATTCTAGATCTTCTGCTCTTCATTTCATTACCAAATGGCAAAATGCCTTAAGTTCCTCTATCTATTATTCACAGAAAAGGAATTAGTGAAATAAGATTGAAAAAATAAAATCCAAGGATTTGAAAAAATTCTCTTCAAATATTAAGAACATACAAAGGATATTAAAGACAACTACATTTAATCTCTCAGGTAACAAAGCAGACATTTGATCTTTGTGGTTTCTTGTTTTTCACTTATTGCTAATTACAGTTTAGAGACAAAAGTGTTTCCAAAAGCTATAAAAACCCTAACTGATGACAGAACTTAATTTGGCCTTAAAAAAAATCACAGTACCTTTTCCTTTAATGGGGTTTTTCTTCTGGAGTAGCTCAGGGCACTTAATGCCTTACAATTTGCATCTGCCTGACAGTAGATCTAAGTATGGGCTTACTTAAGTGTTTTACTGGACAGCACATGTATTTCTGTCCTAGGCAAACGTACAGAGGAACTTAAAGTAAAATCTCAGGAGGTGGTGTTCCTTAGTTGTTCTCCAGTGAACCGGAAGTCGTCTGCAAGAGAGAAAAAAACAAAATCAAACAACCTGTGTGTGAATCTTTATGAAAGAACTTTTAGCTTGTTCGAAGTAGTCCTGCTTCTCTAGCAGCGTGTGAGAACTCAGCTCGAGCCTGGCTGTTTTGTTCCTCTGATAAGAACACGTCTGAGGGTCATTTGGGAGACAAAAATGTAGCAGGGTGGTGACTTGAAAATTCTGCCCCCGCTTTTCTCTCAAAGGCTTGTTTTTCGTCTGTTTCTGTCTATTCCTGGACACTCTGAGAACTAAAGAGAAACTGCTCCTCTAAATGACCAGAAGTAGAAGACTGCCATAACATTTTAGAGCTGGGTGCATTATTTTTAGGAGGAAACTCTTGCTCTTCCAGGAGGAATTTGTTAATATAGTTTATTCTTAGTTATCTGTGGTCTAAATAGTATCACAAGTCAAAAATAAAAAGGAAACTTCGCTAACTAAACAGACCTTGCTCTAGTCATGCCTTCAGAATAGGGTCTCAGCTTCCCAAAGGTGGACAATGCAACTTACTTGCACTGTCTCAGCGAGTCAGACTTAGCAGTAGTTAAGTCATAGCAATAATATTTTCAGAAAATAATATAGTTTTCACTCTTATTTCCCAAGTAAATGTAGAGAAAACATTTTCTTTAGGATTGAACATACATTTTGAAGTTCTTCAATAAATAATTCTTTGCATCTAATTTAATGTTTTTAAAATAACTTGAAAATAGTCTCCACAGTTAAAGAAAGCAAGATATATGCAGTCTTTTCCTTAAGTTTCACCTCATTCTTCAAGATATTTAAAACTTGGGATATTCAAATAATATTCAGACCACAAGGCAATGCCTATAGTGCAATGGTGCCAACTCACAATGCATTTACTCCCAGGAGAAATAAATCATACTTACATATGGAGTTCTAACTCCAAATTTGCTATGGAATGTCATGGTAACTTTATTTTTGTGCCCTGTTCTTTGATCAAGGGCATGGCACGTATCAAAAGGTGGACTGTACAGGTGAAGGCTCACAGCAGGTTCTGTGTGGCTGATGTTCTCCACTCGATGCAAGCCAATGGAATCTAAAGAATATCCAGAAAGGAAGACTGCATGAAGGGAACCCACTGATAGCTCTAGGTAAAATTTTTATTAATGGCCTCAGGTACAAACCATTTTGTGATACAAATGGAATCAACAGAAATTACTTTACATTGAACTTTATTATAGGGTCTTGCTATATTGTCCAGGTTGATCTCAAAGTTCTAGGCCCAAGTAATCCTTCCACCTTAAGCTTCCCTAGCAGGTGGAACTAGAGACTGGAGCCACCTTGCCTGGATAATTTTTTTCTCTTATTTTTTAAGAGATGAGGTCTTGCTTTGTTGCCCAGACTGATTTCAAACTCCAGGCCTCAAGTGATCCTCCTGTTTCAGTTTCCTGAGTAGCTAGGGTCATGGGTCAGAGCCACTGTACCCAGCTTAACCTTGATAAAAGGTAGCAAACGACATAGATGCATTAGCCTCTCTTTCCTAAAAATCAGCCCCAACTGCAGTAAAAAAATAGAAGATATCAACATACAAAAAAACTTTTAAAAAGAGAAAACATTAATAAAAAATTGAAAGCTTGAAAGTTAGATGGATGGCTTTACACCGACAAAGCTTAATCCTAAGCCATCTGTGGGGAAAGCTGAGAAATAACTTGATTCTTATCTTGAAACTCCAAAGAGTTCAGGAATTGGCAACACCAGGTACTTCTGAAATGATGATGAAATGGCGTCTAAAAAAAAATACCAGAGCTGGCTGAAAGCCTATTTAAGTAGAGTGTCAAATCCCTTTCACTAACTCTTCGTCCCCTTTCCCCCCAGTGTCTAGTAAAAATATAACAGATCAATTTAGACTATGGACACCAGGTGAAAGAAACTGATGAAATAAACAAAACTGTACACACTGAATGCTAAAATCCCTGCCTTAGTCACTACCTAGGATGTTACCAGACAGCAGTGTTTCCTTCAGGCAGGAGATGGGAGGCAGCCTCTCAGAGAATCTGATTGACTCAAGAAAAAGCCATAAAGATATGGTCACTGGGCGTTCCTCAAGGGAAAGTCTCTGCCAGATTATCGTGGGATGAAATCCAGTTGATGAGCCCCACTGATGTGTTCAGAGCTACCCATTAACTTTGTCCTTGGTTTTTATCTTTTTTTAAGAGACAGAGTTTCATTTTATTGCCCTCGGTAGAGTGCTGTGTCTTCATAGCAACCTCCAACTCCTGGCTTAGGCGATTCTCTTGCCTCAGCCTCCCCAGTAACTGGAACTACAGGCGCCTGCCACAATGCCCGGCTCGGCTATTTTTTTGTTGCAGTTTGGCTGGGGCTGGGTATGAACCCGCCACCCTCGGTATATGGGGCCGGCGCCCTGATACTCACTGAGTCACAGGTGCTGGCTGCCCTGTCCTTGGTTTTTAAATTTTAGCATATAGCTAAGGCCACCAGACATTTGAGCAAAGCCTCTAGCACAAAACAGAGGCCAGAGAAAACAGAAAAAAAACAACTTGAAATACAATCTATCATTAATGATCCTTACAGACAGATCACTGTAAATTTCAGATAAAATACCATAAAAGGTTCTATAAAATAGTTCAAGGCTTGGCGCCTGTAGCTCAGGGGCTAGGGCGCTGGCCACATACACCAGAACTGGTGGGTTTGAATCCAGCCTGGGCCTGCCAAACAACAATGACAACTACAACCAAAAAATAGCTCGGTGTTGTGGCTGGTGCCTGTAGTCCCATCTACTTGGGAGGCTGAGGCAAGAGAATCGCTTAAGCCCAGGAGTTGGAGGTTGCTGTGAGCTATGATGCTACAGCACTCTACCCAGGGTGATGGCTTGAGACGCTGTTTCAAAAAAAAAAAAAAAGTTCAGGAGGAACTCAGAAATGGAGCTAAAAGAAAACCAAAGAAATAAGCTGAGAATATTTTCTTGAGTTGAAGGATGAATTTCTAGATTGGAAGAACCCACTGATTACCCAGCACAGTGAAAGAGTAATCAAACAAGACCGATCACTGTAAATTTCAGAATACCGGGGACAGAGAGAAAGCACCAAAAGAGAAGATCCCAAAAGTTTCTAGAAAGAAAAAATTGGGTTTCACAGAAAGAGTTAAGAATCAGAATGGCACCAGGCTTGACAAAAACACTGGAAACTAAAAGACAAAGAGATTAACTTCATAGATCTGAGGGAAGATGCTTGCCAGGTCATAATTCATATCCAGGTAAATTATCATTTGTTTAAGTTTGAGAGCTGAATACAGAGATTTTTAGATATATGAGAATTCAAAAATTTATCTTTCATTATCTTTCTCATAGAGCGCTTGGAAGACATGTCTCACCAAAACAAGGGCATGAACCAGGGCATGAAGAAAACATGAGATCATGAAACAGGATCCAGCCATAGAGAGAGAGCAAAGGGAAGGAAGTGAATCTCAAGGTCACAGCCAAGCCCTGGCCTAGAAACTGAGATCATTGAATCTGTACTGAAGCAGTCAAAGCCCTGTGAGAGATGTCTTTAAAAAGATTCTTTAAAAAGGACAATCTGTTCAACTTTCAAGAAATACACAGAGAAACTCAGACATTCAGTGCAGTTCATATAGGCACTTGGTGTGGCTTCATGCTTTCTTTGTCATGATCTAGCTCCAAGTTCATAATGAAGAACAGAAGATCTAGGTTCTACTTCCAGAGTGCCTGGCTAGGTTACCTTTCAACAAGCCCCAACTTCTGGGATCTTTGGTTTTCCTTATTTCTAAAAATGGGGCCTAATTCTCAGACCTGCAAAACTCCTTGATCCTACTGCTTATTGCTTTCATAGTACACTAGGCTTAAACACAATTTTGAATAAATGGTTACCATTGCAGGCACGTACACCATTCCATGTGTGCTAGACACTCCTGCAAGCAAGGACACATCACCCATCCTTTAGAGAAGCCCGTATTGTTAACATTCTAGTATTATTATTATATTTGTATCTTTGCCTCCTTTTCCTTATGGTGTACCTTCTGTCACAGTAATACTGGACTTGTGACATTTTATGGAGGGCAGTTAGGTTCAGGCTGCCTTTATACCCATTACAACAGGAAACTTGGCCTCCTTGCCCCATGTCTCTTCTCTCCTTCAACCTGCATTGCACACCTCTACCTAATCAATATATTCCCAGTACAATGCTGACCAATGAAAGGCCCTTACTTTAAGCTGGTCTTAGAGGCCCAGGCTCTGATCTTACTTTACCCTCCTCTGCCCCCTTGTCTAAGCCCATTCTTCTTCCCTCCTTTCCCCTTCCAATTCCTTAACATTTTCTATGATTGTGCCTTCACTAACATTCTTGCTTGTACTTGAAACATCCCTTCTTGGGTCACTATGGACCTTTCCCCCTCAGTTCCACTTCTGCAACTGTAAAAACCAGGGGTTTAAAATTGCAGCTTTACATTATTTAGGTGATCAGTGTACAGAAATAAAATTTAGAACATCCCACCTAACATTTTATTGATCGGCAAAATTCTGCATAAAAACCAGAATTTCCAACTTCTGTGGAAAAGTCAAGGCAATCTTGCCGGAGCTGAGGGACTACTGCTTCTCCCTTAGTGTGCCAAAAAATCAAATAAAATAGATCTCTATAATGTTTTGTAAGTGGGATTGCACCCTGATGAAAAACATGGGTTTTGGGGTAGTGCCTGTGGCTCAAAGGAATAGGGCGCCGGCCCCATACGCCTGAGGTGGTGGGTTCAAACCCAGCCCCGGCCAAAAACTGCAAAAAAAAAAAAAAAAGAAAGAAAGAAAGAAAGAAAAGCATGGGTTTTGGAATTAAATTGCTTAGGTTTAAATCCTGGCTGCCATTTAAAAGCTGAGTGACCTTGGGCAAGTTATTATTTTTTGAGACAGAGTTCTCAAGCTGTCGCCCTGGGTAGAGTGCCATAGTGTCACAGCTCATAGCAACCTCCAACTTGGGCTCAAGCAATCCTCTTGCCTCAGTTTTTCTGTTTTTAGTAGAGATGAGGGTCTTATTTTTGCTTGGGTGGTCTCGAGTTCATTAGCTCAAGCAATCAACCTGCCTTGGCCTCCCAGAGGGCTAGGATTACAGGCGTGAGCCACTACACCCAGCTCTTGGGGAAGTTATTTAATCTTTCTGCATGTTGGTAACCTCACCTATAAATAGGAATAAAAGATTATCTGTCGTGGCCAGGCGTGGTGGCTCATGCCTATAATCCTAGCATTTGGGAGGCTGAGGCGGGTGGACTGTCCTGAGCTCACAGGTTCAAGACCAGCCTGAGCCAGAGGGAGACGTCATCTCTAAAAAAACAGCTGGGTGTTGTGGTGGGTACCTATAGTCCAGCTACTTGGGAGGCTGAGGCAAGAGAATAACTTAAGTCCAGGAGTTTGAGGTTGCCGTGATGCCATGGCACTCTACTAAGGAGGACAAAGTGAGACTTTGTCTCAAAAAAAAAAAAAAATCTGTCTCATACAAGTTGTTTTTGTTTTTTTTAGGAGACAGAGTTTCTCAGTATGTCACCCTCGGTAGAGTGCCATGGTGTCACAGCTTGCAGCAACTTCAAACTCTTGGGCTTAAGTGATTCTCTTGCCTCAGCTTTCCAAGTAGCTGGGACTATAAGCACCCGCCACAATGCCCAGCTATTTTTTTGTTGCAGTTGTCATTGTTGTTTAGCTGGCCCAGGCTGGGTTCGAACCCACCGGCCTTGGTGCTTGTGGCTGGCAGCGTTGTAACCACTGTGCTACGGGTGCCAATCCAGTCTCATACGAGTTTTAATAAGCTTTTTGAAAAGTTACTTTTCTTTTAGGAATACAGAAGTTAATCACTGTCTTGGGAAAATGACTGAATTCTTGATAAGATTTCTATAAGTCACTGCCCCATAATGTGTTTCAAAGAATTTCCCACAAGGACACTTTTAGGTATGGTGTAGGCATTTTAGAAAAATGGGGACTAGCTAGTATTCTTAATCACTTCCAGAACATATATTTTCTAACATAAGATTCATGTTTCCAACTTGATATCTTTCAGTGAAAGATTCTACTTATGTAAATTCATATTTGATTTTAACTGTCTCTAGTCTTGGCAGGCAAATGACTTTTCCATGGACAATAATCTGTATACATATGTTTTTAATAAGTGATGCAAAGCCTTAAAAAGCAAAACCCACTGTGTCTAGGCTATTGCCCAAGTATTTTTAATCAGGATTGCATGATCCAAATCTACTGCCCGTGTGTAAGCAGCCAATACTAAGGTTCATGGTTTTTTCCACTTCCCCTTAGAAAAGGATAAGATGTTACCATTGATGTAGGCACACTGGTTGTCCCTCAAGACTCTTTCAGACTTCTTGATCATCTCATTGGACTTTTTGTCAGGCCAGGCAAATAGCGTCTCCTTTAGATTTCCCTGTAGCATCTTCAGAAAGCAGTGGGAGTCGGTGTGGTCATGAATACTGCTATACATACACAGAATGACAGAGGAACTCAGTAGATGGTCTAGTACCCAGACCAACAGGGACGGTCATTCCAGAGCTGACCCCTGCACACTGTCAATAGGACATCTCCCAGGCCAAAATCCATTTTTGCTGGATTTAAAAAATGTCATCGATTTGTAATTCAACAATGTTCAAGGCAAAGTAATAATATTCATATCGGTTCACATAAAAACCCTACTAAAGAACAGTGTTTTTATAACCTCATTGTAAGATTACTTGAACAGAACCACAAAACGACAATATTTTACCTTCCCCAGAATATAGCTTTTAATAACTCACTTAAGCTAGACCAGAACTTGATTATGAAGTATACCTGGTGAAATTTTAGAGAAGATAATCATCTATAATAATGGTGCCACACTGAGAAGATCACTTAACATTTAATGTTTTTTTCCCCAAGGCTTTTTTTCTTTTCTCCTTTGGAGGGTGGGAGAGGCTTACATACATGCGTTACTATTATATTGTATTTATTTATTTATTTTTTTATTGAATGGTAACTATGTACATTAATGCACTTCTGGGGTACAGTGTGGGGTTTTCACATGCAATCCGAAATACTTCCATCAAACTGGTCAACACAGCCTTCATGTCATTTTCTCAGTTATTGTCTTAAAATGTTCACATTCTACTCTTAGAAAGATTCACTTGTACCCCTATAAGATAAACCTCAGAAGTGATCCCTCCAAACCCCCTCCCTCCACCCTATATTGTATATGTAACGTTAACACACTGCAGATTTAGAGTACCCGACCTGTGATTACTTCCCACTACTGGTTGAAGGGTAAAAAGTAAATTGGATTTTAGGAAAGAATTCATCGATGTAACAACCTTAAATAGTATGTGTGCATATATATGGATATATATTTTAGACACAGTGTCTAGCTCTGGCACCCACTGAAGAACAATGGCACGATCATAGCTCACTATAGCCTCTATTTCCTGGGCTCACACAATTCTCTCATTTTGGCCTCCAAAAGCACTGGATGACAGGTGTGAGCCACTGTGCCTAGCTATAAACAGTATTTAAGCATATGAAGTAGTAGTAGCTACAGGGTTGATTAAAATATATGAATCTGGGGCAGTGCCTGTGGCTCAGTGAGTAGGGTGCTGGCCCCATATACTGAGGGTGGCGGGTTTGAACCCGACCCCGGCCAAACTGCAAACAAACAAACAAAAAAATAGCTGGGCGTTGTGGATGCCTGAGGTCCCAGCTACTCAGGAGGCTAAGGCAAGAGAATTGGCTAAGCCCAAGAGCGGGTGGTTGCTGTGAGCTGTGATGCCACAGCACTCTACCAAGGGCAACAAAGTGATACTCTGTCTCTCAACATATATATATATATTCATATATATATATGAATCTGTATATATTTTTAGTATTCCCTATGTTGAATTCTTATTTATTTATTTTTTTGAGACGGAGTCTCACTTGGGACCTAGCTAGAGTACCGTGAGGTCATAGCTCACAGCAACCTCAAACTCTTGGGCTTAAGCAGTCCCTTTGCCTCAACTTCCTAAGTAGCTGGGACTACAGCTGCCTGGATAGTTTTTCGACTTTTAGTACAGGTGGGGTCTCAGTTTTAGCTCTGGCTAGTCTCAAACTCCTAAGCTCAGGTGATCCAGCAGCCTGTGCCTCCCAGAGTGGTAGGATTATAGGCATGAGCCACCCCTGCCAGCACTATGTTGAATTTTTTTTTGTTGCAGTTTTTGGCTGGGGCCACCTCTGGCATATGGGGCTGGCACCCTACTCCTTTGAGCCACAGGCACAGCCCCACTATGTTGAATTTTATTAAACTATGTATGCCTCATAAGAACTTGTTTCCTAAGTCCATAGAGCCCAGTTCTACCCCTGACATAATTTGTTTAAAAAATACTAGGATCAAATAGAAACAATTGCATTCAATATGAGTAAAGAAATATACTCAATATCGCTAGCTTTCTAAAGCCTTGTATATATTTGTTTCCTTTCTCTCATTTAAAAACAAATCAGTCTGGATTGTTGTTTTTACCATTCCCCAAAGGTTGAGAAGAACCTGTTCTTTTAAACAATACTTAGTTGGTGATAAGATGGGCAAATGTACAAACTGAAGCCAAGTTAAGGAACCAAGTTTCAAAGAATTGGTATTAGTTTAAGTTGCCTTCTAGGTTAAAACGAATTATCTAGAATTAACTTAAAATAGACGTTTTCTGAATTTGCGCAATGCTTTTCTAGCTCCCAATCTCCACACTTTGGTCTTTGCTCCCACAATTGTTTATATACCTTAAAGATCAAGTTTAAGCACAATTCCATATAAAGTTTGATTCCATAGAAGACAAAGAATGAGGTGAAGATGGTCACTTAACCACTTTGATTTAGTACTCATTTGGGGGACTGGTCTTAATATGCCCGGTGTATGCCCAAACCCCCTATATTAATTTCCCTAAGCATTTTGTTAGGATTGGGGATATTGTGAATAATTACAAAAGAAGCAGGGCATGGTGGCTCACACCAGCAATTCTAGCACTCTGGGACGCTGAGGAGGGTGGAGGGCTTGAGCTCAGGAGTTTGAGACCAGCCTGAGCAAGAGTGAGACCCTAAAAACAGAAAAACTGAGGCAGTAGGATCACTTGAGCCCAGGAATTTGAGGTTGCTGTGAGCTATGATGATGCCATACACTCTACCCAGGGCATAAAAAGATGCTCTAATAAATATTTATGCATGAACAGTTGTATTACCTGCCATGTCCTTCACCCCAACATAAAATCATCAGATTAAATTTTCCATTTCCTTGGTCCACAAGATTTCTGGTATACCTAAAAAGGGAAGGAAATGTATTCAGAAGTTTGAATGTGATTGCTGAAATAAGTAGGGGCAATAAGTGTGTCACAAAGTACCATTCACTTACAAATGTTAATATTTCTACCTCTAAACAACTCCGAATGTGGTTCTGTAATTAGAAATCCAGAGATTTTTTTTTTCAGGCTGAGCATGGTGGCTTACACTTGTAATTCTGACATTCTGGGAGGCAGGACCAGCCTGAGCCAGAGGGAGACGGAGACAGAGACCTTATCTCTAAAAGTAGCTGGGCTTTGTGATGTTCAGAACCTCAGAGCTCAGACAATCCACCCGCCTTGGCCTCCCAGAGTGATAGGATTACAGAAATGCTCTGGCATTTCTGTTTTTTAAATCTCTGCATTCACAGAGATAGCTACTTAGTTTTAAAATACCACATAGGAAAGATAACAGAGGAAAAAAAGCAACTTTCCCATTTCTCAGAATGACAGCCACAAGCAAATACACAGAGTATTTGCAATGTACATCATTTATGCTCTAGGCAAGAATGTTGTTGTTTTGCTTGTTTGTTTTGTTTTTTGCCCCTAGGACTTGAGAAACAAGGTTTCATTAAATAGCTGTTCTAGAATACTCTCTAGTTTTACTCAAGCACAGAAGGGAACCACATTCAAAAGCACTCACAATGAAAAGTCCACCACAAATGGGGTTCAGGTTGACCTAAGTACCAGAACAAAAGAGACTACATTAGGGAAGAATATTGTAAACCAGTACAATTAGGAGAAATCAGTATTGGGCAACACACACATACATACCACCAACAAAAAAGCCCTGCAACAAGTATCATAACTACGGAGGGGTACTACTGGTAAGCTTGACAATTAAGTCGTTCATTTAGACTGCCTTTTTTCAAGAGAGGGGTCTTTACTCCAGTTTTTTTGTAGTGTTTGGTCCTTGGTCATCAGTTTACATGTGTCCTGCCTGCCCCTTCTGTCCTGCCCTCTTTCCCTTCCCTCCCCCAGGTCGTTGCACAGCTTGATCTCCCAGACAGTTGCTTACTTAGTGATTTTTAGCTGTCAGTCTTTCAGACTTTGGAGCTCTTTATGACCTAGCAAGAGGCTATGCACACAACCTTAAATTCCCAATCTACTAGCTTGCGTCTTGCATCACTGGGGCTTCTTCCAGAAAATTTACTGGCTGGCCCACACTAGAATATATATTCTGTGTTGGTTCTTCTGTACTGGCCCTCCCAAGGGTGAAGGATCAGAATCTTTCCCAGCACTGGGCACTTATTCTATGCAAAAATACTATAGAATTGATTTCTGCTTTCCCTTTTCCCTCCTCCCTAACTGCCTGCTCAGAGAACTATACTCTTTATCTTAGTGAGCTGTGCCTCACACAACTACCAAAAGACCTATCAATCCAACTGGATGCATTTTAAAAGGTTTATAGTTTGTCAGTCAAGACAAATTTAAGACACCCGGAAATACCCCTATTCTAAAATTTAAGAGCTGTTACAGCTCATCCTGGTTAAACAATTTCAGTTGGTCAATAATTTATCTAGCCAAAAAAAATACTATTAGGATGTCATATGTCTAGAGGAAGTTAGTAGTGGTTTAGAGTGTAGGTTCGGGAACAGAAATGCTAATTTAAACCCTAAAGCTCCTAGTTGATAGAAGGAAGACCCTGAGCAGGTGATGTAACCTCTTTACTATTCCTCATTGATAGAATAGAGACAAGAATGGCACCTAATCCCTATGTGCAAAGTGCCTGGAACAGTATCTGGCCCATAAATGCCCTCAATTACCTGGAGCCAGGGCAGAAAAATTAAAAACTAACTCTCTCGCAGCTTTATTTACAGCTACAGAAGGGTGTTACCATGAACTGAGTTGATAGTAACTAAACGAATTTCCTAAAGCTACTTGCAAATGAAAATGAATCCTAAACAGGCTTCAGATTTTCTATTTCAAATGCTAAGATACAGTTGAAACTGCCCTTGCCAACCAAATTTTACCAAAATCCTCAGTGTTAAGAGGTGAGTAATAGAAACTCTCCCAACAAATACAATTTTTCCTCCTTCTTTTCTTTCAGCTATTAGGCTTTCCCAAACGTCAAGCCAACAGGTCATATGGACTAAATCCCTGGCTGCCCTTTGGAAAAAGTGAACCTCTCGCCTTTCTGGGAATTTTTACCTCCGGTCTTAGAAGATTGGCAGGGAGATTCGTTTTTACTTAAATCACCAAACTGGGAATGCAAGAAAGCCAGCCTCCAGGACATGGCACTCAAACAGAAGTCAGATCGTTTGGGGGGCTCAAGTAGCAGCGGTCGTGAGTTTAATTAGCGAACCTCACAACTGAATCAAATGAACCCACAGTCGGGAAGGTTAAACTGGTTCGGGAGAGGGGCAGAAGAAATTGAACAGTAGCAACGCACTATCCCAAGCTCTATTCTACATGAGTAAAAACGTTTGCTGGAAGGTGCCTGGCTGCAGGTGACCTAAGGCCTAGTGACGGGGGACCGACGTGGGAATCATGTCCTGCACCACCCCCTCTCTCCTGCTGGCTAATGCAGTTCTGTCCCGGGAGCACACTCCGCTAGTCCTGCCCGTCGGTTTTTCAAGGTGCTTAGCAGGTCAGAACCCGAGCGCGGGTCTCCCCGCACCTCAGTCTCCACGGTTGACGCTGGCTGCGTAAGGGAGGGCATCGCTCCCGAAGCCGGGGGCAGGAGTGGTGGTCTGAAAGTGGACGGGTTTGCGGGCGAGAAGAGGACAGAAAGCCTCGCAGCCGCGCGCAGCCTCCCTTTCTGGCGCCAGCTCCAGTCTCCGGCCAGCGGCCAGGCTCAGTAGGAGCCACCTCCCGCCCGCGCCGCGGCCGCACAGCACAAAGCGCGCGGCGCCAGCCGGGTGGCTTGCCAGCATGGGGCGAGCGGATGATGGGAGGGGGCTCGGCCGTCGCAGCGCGGCCGTGGGCCGCCCCTCCCTCCTCTTTTCTCATCTGCCCAGGAGAGTGGGCATCGCTTGGCCTGAAGGGTAGAGCGCGCTCACCTGTACTGATCGAACTTGGCGTACACTGCCCACTCGGCCGGGTCGCTCTCGTAGGCTTCCATGACGGCTTGCACCTCCTCTACGTTGACTTCATCTCCTGCGAAGAGCTGGTGCAGGATGCGGATCAGATCAGCCAGCGTCCGTGGCTTCAGCACCTCGGTCTGCTCCATCCCGCACGGAGCCGGCGGCGCGCGCGTCTCTCTGCTGGGCTGCGGTGCAGGAGCTGAGCGAGCGCGGAGCTGGGGCGAAGGGGCCTAGCCGCCCGCTAGACAGCCAGGCGCGCACACACACCCGGTGTGCTGAAACGCAAGGAAACCCTTGGGGAGAGACCCGGCACACTCGAATCAGGGCCAAACCTGCGCGGTTTACCCTCCCGGGCCCTTTTTAAGCTCTTGGAGTCAGTGGGAATGTACCAACGGTCTGTGCGGGGTGGAGCGAGGCGGAGAGCCTTGAACAGAAGGTAGCGGAGGCGGGGATAGCGAGCGAGCGCGGCTGATGAACACCGCCCCGGCTCCCGGGGCACTCTGAGCCCTCGGGGACCCTATTCTCTCGGGCGTGTCAACCCCAGCTGCGGGCTCCGCGCAGTCTCTCCCCCACCTTGGCTGTGCGCGTTGGTCCTTCTCCCTGCGCCCCCTCCGCCACTGTGGTTCGGGACGCTGAGACGTAGACAGGATCAGGAGACGGCTAGAGGCAGGAGGGGGAAGAAAGAGGATTTTCCTTCCCAAAAGACCTGAGGGGTCGTGAGCAGCCTGCCAAGACTGAGGGTGGATTTTTCAATCCCAGGCTAGGGGGCCACTGTTTACCAATTGAAACTGTCCGTAATATGCCTCAGGGGAGGTAAAGATAACTCAAAGTTAAAAAATATATATTTTTTGTATAGTGTACTGTAAGTATATTAGGACAAAAATTCAGCTCTCAAGACTAATTTAAACAATAGACTTTTTTTTTAAAGAGACAGAGTCTCATTTTGTAACCCTCGGTAGAGTACGGTGGCATCACAGCTCACAGCAACCTCCAGCTCTTAACGGTGGCATCACAGCTCACAGCAACCTCCAGCTCTTAACGGTGGCATCACAGCTCACAGCAACCTCCAGCTCTTGGGCATCACAGCTCACAGCAACCTCCAGCTCTT